TTGGTGTTTTTTCAGGCCATTAATTTGCATGTCAATATATTTTTTCTAACTCTTCTTTTTGTCATAAGTAGTTTCACACTCTCTCTCTCACTCACTCTGCAAGCTGCTGGTAGTATTTTGCATTTGTGTGTCATTTATTCGTCTTGCTTATGGTGTGTAAAGGCCTTAAAGGACCTGTATGTGGGATTTAGTGGCATCTAGTGGTGAAGTTGTAAACTGCAACCAACTGAATACCACTCGCCTTCCAAGTCCGTAGGAGGAACTACTTGCAAAAAACGTCCATATCTAGAGCCAGTGTCTTACTTTAACCCTTAAACCAATTCTCAACCCGTAAACAGCTCTAAACAGAAGTGAGGACATTTAGTCCAGTCCTAACTCCTGTTCAGAGCTGTTTAAGGGTTAAGAATTGGTCCTCACAAAGAAATTCAAGCTCTTGGCCCTCACAAAGATTGAATAAACACACACACACACACACACACACACACACACACACACACACACATAGAGGACATTATACCACCTCCTGTGAATCTTTGAGATTGTGGCTGCTGGGTGACTCACCGCTCAATACTTTGAGGGAAAACTGTAATTCACTGAAGCAATTTCACCTTGTCATGGACACGGGTCTGTTTATAGCTGCAATCAGCAAGAATATATTGAAGCTTTGGACTTTTCTGTTGAAGCATCCACTCTTTAAATATATCTCTGCCTTTTCTGCAGACACAGGACTATTTGTTGTTTCTTCCCTCTTGGTGCTGTTGTCTCAAACAGTTTGTGATGCTGATGATGGTGACTGACTGCATCAAATACATAATACAACATCATTTTTTCAAATAACAGCTGTTGGTAATATACTTTGCATGGCAAACATAGCATTATCAGCAAATATTTTTTTCATAAAACAAGGAAATACTAGCTGACCGAGGAAAAGGTTGTTCGACAAAAACATGTTAAGAGGGTAATTCTAACAGCTAAGGGTATCTGCTTTGAGCTGCTCTGGGTTAATGTTAAATAAACTAGCTAAATGCTAAATAAACACAGCTAAATTGAGGCACAAATGTTCATATATTTAAAGCACTCGCCTGTAGATTCCCACAATCATGCAAATGTTTCGACCTTAAAAGTTGAGACGCACAATCAGGTCTCAGAGCACATGAATTATGGATGGTCATTTGCAATTCCCTCTCTGACCTCTTTCAACTTACTATGAATACAAACCCCACAACCTAAAGGCTCTGTATTAAATTTGTATTTCAAATGAGCAGTGGCTCCGGATATTGGTTGTGTATTATTTGAATAAATATGGTGGAGTTTATTGAGAAGCCACTGAATGGTTTTGAAGAGTCTGATGTGTACAGGCAGCTCCAGCTCGCCTGATTCAGATGGGATAAACTGGCTCAGTGTGTTGTTTTGGATCCTACCATACATGGCGAGAGGAGGAAGTCCTGCCATAACCCTTACATTTATTTAAACATGTATCCAACCAAAACTATCTCCCATTTTAATTAATCAATGCAGTTATTCCAAAGCTTAGATTGGTGGAACGATAGCTAGTAGTAGTAGCAATGATACTGGCTCTCTGGCAAGTGAGTTTTCTAGATTCATTCAACATTTCAGTTGAGATATTTAAGTTATTTTTGCAGCAAGGCAGCATAGAACATAAAAATGATCACAGTAAGACAATTAGAAACCTTAAAAGTGCTGCTATTATAAATGCAAAATGGAGGATAAAAAAATATTCATGTAAAAAAACTGACACTATAGGAAAAGGGCTAAGAGATACACTGTGTATTAGAATTAAGAGCGTTTCTTCCACATGGGATTAATGAAAACTTAAATCTGTTTCAGTTTGTCAACATTAGGGAAAAAGAAAATAAGGATAACTTGTGAATTTAACATTGATTATAACATTCTAAATATTAAGAAGGCGTAGGACTACACAAACTAAGTTTGACTCAACATAACTTACCATCAGTCTCTCTATTTAGAAATTCATATTAACTAAACAGCTTATATCTGTTGGTCTATAAAACTGTATACATCTAAGTGTGATTCTTACTGTGGTGATTTTTGGTTCACATGGTCTTTCATAGCTAAAAAGTCTTTGATAAGCCCATAAGAACCCTGAACTCCTCTCCAAATATGTGATAACATTTAAAAAACATACACGCTTGTCAGTCAAAAATTAGAGCTTTTGTTCTGGACTCCTGCACAAATCACGATACATGGTTTGCATCCAAAAGCAATGTGAGTCTATTTTTACTGTGTTGTACATTTGTCTGCGCTGTTCAGGGGCTGGTGACCTGCTTCCTCTGCCAGGATGGAAATACGACTGAATGAGTTACTAATTAGATTATAACATGCATCTTAAAAATGGATTCTGGGTCACATTGGTCACAGTTGTAGGAGGCATAAACAGCTCACCACTGATTCATAGAGGTAACATAAGATTTACATTATGTTAATTTTGTAGGAGTGAAGGATTTATGTATTGTCAAAGAATATTTTTGTGCGAGGCACATTAATGAGTAGGTAAGTCTTCTTGGTATCGTATATATTTTTATCTTTTATTTCAAACCCAAACAGCTATTATAGTTACTTAAACATATGCTATACCTTTTAAAATAAAATTTGATTTGATTCGAAAGGGACATACAAGTGTGTCTTTTCTTCAGTCTTTCAGGTAGGGTTAGTTGGATCAATTTTTCACGCAAATAAACAAACTTGCATTCAATCTAAATCTGTGGTTATATTTTTTAACAGAGAAGAAGAAGGGATGCTTAAGCAGCGAGATAAGAAAACCCATTGTGTGCTCAGTCAAATACTTTTCATAGTGGCATAATCCAACAAACCAACACAGAGGAAAGCAGGATTCCTTAAATTCCTTTAACTAAAGCGATGATGGAAAAACTATAACCTGTAATCATTAAACATTTTTCAGTGTCTGTTTTTTTAATTTCATTAAGCTTCTGTAAAGAATAAAACAGACAAACCCATGTTCAAAGCTGCAAATAAAGATCATTTTTTGTGATTGATTAATCTGTGAAATGCTTCTGCTTGTTTCTGATGCACCCATGTGATCATAAAGTCAGTCAATGTGGGTTAAATAAAAGTATTTCTGCTCTAGCTGTGAAAAAGGCAACTTTAAAAGGGTCTGATTTAACTATTTGAATAAAAAACTTTACAGCTACAGGAGCTCTGTGTATACAAACTAAAAGAGATTGAATAAATAATTATCTTCCTGAATTTTAGATTTAATTTTGTTTCAATTGAATAAACTGTAAGAAAAGACTGAAAATGCATCCCAGCACCCTCTGTAACTCTCCTCCTCACCTACTTGCTTTATACTGTACAGCTGTACTGTATGCTCCAGTTTTACCTCATTTGCTGAACTGCTCTCAGGCCAGAAATAAATCTGAATATCCCAAGAAAATAACAGCACAATCATCCATGTCCCAGAGGGGTTTCTGTATCCTTACCTGATAATAAATCACTGTAATAATCAGGTGAGCTTTTGGTAATGACAGCATGGCCTCTGGTGAGCTGCTATATATAGACTTATAGCAGAGGTGACCAGTGAAGCATAGAGGGCGAGAGACAATGTTCCCTCAGAGAGAGAGCGAGTTATGTCCTTTCTCCTTTCTCAAGAACATAAGTCATGTGCAAGCACTCTTTTCCCCTCTTTTTCTTTTACACACACACCCACATATAAAAAAACATACATTTACACTCTTCTGTGGATGTTCTACCAATACATTCTTTTTATTTCACACTCTGTTCTTTCTCCCTTTTCTCTCACATGCACAGCCTACATGTACACACTGTCCTGTCTTGTATAACACTGTGGAAATGTGCCCACCCCCATGAGGACAGGTCGTAAATATAAGGTTTCTTCTGGTGTACGGGTAACAATGGAAAGGACACACACACACACACACACACACACACACACACATTGTCAAAGATAACACGCAGTAGGCTCATTGAAATAATGCAAATAGGCACATGCACAGATGCTTCAGTATGTCCTTCATGTGATTCATTAGCCGCACAGCTCTGGGAGTCTAGAACAGAGTGAAGAGTGAAGAAGGTGACTTTGTGTTGGCAGCATCCCAGACCTGCTCTCTGCTGGTCAGTACTGTGATCTGTCACCAGAGGATACTTACAGTGTTGCAGGAATATACTCAAAAACTTTGAATGTCTTCTGAGAGGCCATCTGTGCTGCGCATTAACCCAGCCTGAATTTGTCAAGTCTGTTGGGAGCAGTTGCAGATTTCTACTTAGAACAACACGCAAGTGTTTTCTGATCTGCTGCCTCACTAATAAAGGTTTGGTTATATTTAGGATCTCTGTGTGCTTCAAACTATGTTGTATAATGTGTCATCCCACCCATGTAAAGCCAAAGGTGTTTGTAGATGTTCTAACAAGTTTCAAGCAGTCTCTGTAGGAGTAAATGTATTAATGAGAAGAATAAAAAACAGAACTCTGCCTTCCATACCTGACCGAATCGCTGGTCATAGAAAGTGTTTGATTGTTGAATTGTCTGTTTCAGAAAGTTACAAAACAAGAGTGTGTTAGATAGTTAGTATTTTAGCCATATTATCCATCCCAATTATTTAAAACTCATTAAACATTTATTTTACAGTTTGTCTTTGTTTTCTCTTCTAAATAAATTTGGCTAAACCGGGTTTGTTTAAAACGTCTGACCGCCCTGTCTGACTTATTTTTACCGATGATACAGCATTCCCATTTTAGACTTATTTTTACCGATGATACAGCATTCCCATTTTAGCAACAGTACAATGTTATCATAACTGTAGGAAATGATGGCAAAAAACCAAAAGAAAATCTATTAGATAAAAAAGAAAAAAAAGACAATATGATGATAAACAGCCCACCCCCTTCAATTCATTTCCATTTAAAAGGCACCTCCATCCAGCAGCTGCTTCCATGCAGCTTTTTCAGCCAAACAAACAAACAAACGAACAAACACATGAATGCAAAGTTTAGTATGCATAATTTATTTCTCACTGACATTGTTGCTGAACGAATACACATTATGAAGCCTTGTACCTCCTCTCTCAGACTGACATACAGATGCACAACCAAAGCAGTGGTACACAGAGCAGTGTTTGTGTCCAAAGAATCTGCCTTAACATCATCACACTGAACGGAGGAATGCTTTCATGCCAAGACAACATAAAAAATTGTGTTTGCGGGATCACCTAGACACTTATCCTTAACACGCAATTGTTGACCAGTTGAACTGCAACATGGGCGCTTGCTGTCTGTCATCGGAGAGGACTTATTTGAGTCATAATACTCCACACAAGGAATGTTTGTATGTCAGTGTTATATATGAACATACAGCAGGACATTCTGTATGTAAACACACAATTTGTTGAAATGTTATTACCACTGATTCACAAAGCCATGTACAAAAATCATTTCTGGATTGCACATAACAGCCAACTAAGGTTCAAGATTTAACCTGACAGCTACAAACATTTTAGAAGTTGAAGACGCCTCTTTCTGACAGCTGTTTTTTTTTTTTTTAAAGTAACACCAAGATTTTCTTTATGTACACAGTTCAACACGCTGTTGTAGAAGCTGCCATTAAGTTTTGGGATCCCAACAGCTGTGAATGCTAAAAAAGCTATGTTTGGTCACTTTGTGTTGGATTTTCTATAAAAACAAGCTCCCAACTAGCAAAAGGAAGATCAATATATGCAGCATATGAACATTTTTTTAAGATATATTGTTTTTTCCAGGCCCTTGACAGCTCTCGCTTGACATCATGACCTCAGAAAGTAGTCAACATATGGCAAAATATGGCAGCTAATCCAGCGTTGGCATATTATAATTGTTGGTTATATTTACATTAAGAACAATCAGCCTCACATACAAAAGGAGAGACATGCTTACTGTACATTTTTAATCACTGATTTTAAAATAAATCATTAAAAATCAGTGTTACATTGCTTTTCTGTATGCTGCCACAGTTATTTTGTCCACTGGAGACGGTTTTCTTTGCACATCCAGTATTTCTTAATTTCCTCATCACACGTTTGACATAATCGAGAAATGTTTCTTTGTTTGCCTAATATGACAATGTCAGCAGCCAGCAGTGTCGCTTGCATCAAGGAGGAATGTACAAATCTTGCCATTTTAGAGGAAATGGTTAGATCTGAAGAAACAAAAGGCTGAAAATGAAAAAAAAGACATTACACTGTATATCATTTAGGAAGTTTGGGACGGGTTAAGTTAGAAGGCATCTGTCTGAAAGAGGAATGTAAACAGTATCAGGTCAGCTGTGGCTAGCCTTTACCAAAGCCCAAGCATGTAGGTTGGATTCATGGAGGTTGAGAGACGGTTGCCTGGCAACACAGTTTCAGTAAAAGCTGTCAGAACTTTTAAGCAACAAAAATCAAATTTTATACCTCCAGCATGCAAGTCCCCATACTTGAATGGTTTCTGGCAACTACTGCATGCACTCAAATTTATAAGAATAATAATAATAATAATCTGTTCTATGCCACTGTTCTGCTCCACAGCGCTCTCAATATAATGTAGGTGAACTAACTGATCAATTTGACTTTTAAACTGAGTTGAATGTAATAAAAGGCTTTGGTTTATGATTTTCTCTGCCATCTCAGTGGAGTGGGTTCTGATTATTTTGCTGTCTGTGGTAAAAATGAAAGAAAAAGAAAGAACAAAACATTACTGACATTATATAAGAGACACTTCTACTCTAAGCCTTCTTGCTATCACAGTTTACGAGCTGAGGTACTTCATAAGGCTTCATTATTTCCTTCAAAAAACTAATAACAGACATTTCCAAAAAGCATTAAAAATGTTTTTGACCATTAATGTACAATATGTTTTATTACCCTTCTGCTCTTCTTCCATATTCCAAAGTGGTGCATTTGGGTGTCAAACCCCCAATCTCCTACATCTGCCCTCTGTCCAGTTGGGTGTGAATGTAAAGGTGTCTCCTCTCAGGCCACTAACAGTCAGCCATGCAGAGAGTGGTCTGTTTAAATAATTCCACTTAAATATTCAAGAATGTCCTCCTAGGCATTGCAAATGACTCCTAGAACAGCTGGAAATTGTCCAAATATCCAAGTTCTCAAATTGTGTTTGACAAGATCCTTATTAACTGCACCAGTGACATGACAGGATGTCAGCAGGTCTGTCGATCTGTTGGTCCAACACTTTGGTCCAGACTGAAATACCTCAACATGTACTGGATGGATTGGCATGGGATTTGGTACAGACATTCATGGTCCACTGAGGCTGAATCCTGAGGACTTTGGTGATCCCCTGACTAGTGCCAACAGCAGGTCAAAATTCCCTCCAGTTCAACACTTCTTTTCATGAGGATACCACTAATGACTAAATCCTTGTCAGCCTCAGCTGCACTAATGGGAAATAATGATAACATAGCATGTTAAACATGCTGATATAACCATGCAGTGCAGCTGTGTGTAGGCTGACAAACTACAGCTTGAAGTTAGAACCAAATCAGCTACAAATAATTGTCTGAGGTGTCCTACAATGGTCACAGTAAAAAGGATAAATCCTTCTGATTTACAACATGACCTGTCCTCACTCGTGGTAAGGATGTAACAACAGCGAAGTAGTCTGTTTTCTGGTTTGTAAGCATTTCCATCTTACAGAAGCTGCTATTGTGGCTACAGACGTATGTCTTGTTTATTTTATCCCCAGGCATCTATCGCCTGATAAATGCATCTGATTTCAGCCTGTCAGACCAGAAGACATCAAACCCTGTCAGTGTTAGGAGCTTCCTCTATGCACTGAGCTGAGCAGTTTGGACCCCTTACAGTACGCTCTGGGTAGAGGTCACTTCCTAACACTGAGGATGGTCATCTGTAGACACTCCTCCTTTAGAGCCACCAGTTCTGTCTTGTAGCTGCTTGTCTTGCCCCCATCGACGTAAACACAAGGCTGCTTCTTTGCTGACAACGGCGTTTCCATAGTCACTGAACCAGCGTTGAGCATGTCGGCGTGTGATGGTGAGGAAGAGGAGCCCTTGTGGCAAGCTGCTGACAGTAAAGCTGAGAGAGCTCGGCCGACGTCGTGTCTAGCCCCCTCATTGACGAAACAGTACAAAATGGGGTCTGCAACGCAGTTGAGGCTCGTCATTGCCAGCGATACATGGTACGCTGCAAACAAGCTCTCCTCCGAGCTGCAGTCACAAGGCTTCCTTAGAAACATGACACTCCGCACCAGGAGGAGGATGTGGTACGGTCCAAAGCAGAGCAAAACAATTAGGATCAGACTCAACGCCAGCCGCTGAATTTTGGCCTTTTCCTGGCGCTCTGTTGAGACGTTGCAGCGCACTGCTGCGAGGATCCCGCGGTAGGCAACAAGCATGGCTGTCCATGGAGCGAGGAACCCCAGAAATGTCCTGTAGAGGTTCATCCCTGCCACCCAGTCCTGCATGGGATACTTCTCAAAGCAGAAGGTGTGGTTGAACCGATCCTGGAAGAGCTCATCGTGAAAGAGAGGAGCGGAGTTGGCTACGATCTCAATGATCCACACCATGGCACTCACCAGGACCGCTGCAGGAATTTCAGAAGAGGGGAGGAAAGAAGAGGAGAGAGAAATATTAGACCTTGGGGTAACCCCTCATTCCTCTAGCCCAAGGGGAAGCAACTGGCAGCTCCAGAGCAGCCTGAGGCTCTTTAGCCCCTTTCCAGTGGTTCCCTGTGGCTTTGACAAAAAAATAAATGAAAATAATTTGTCATTGTTGTAGGCCTAAAGCAATTCTTACATTCTCTAGCTGTAGAAATGTGTTGCCATTACACACCGAAACAATGTTTTTTCAATCTTATTTCATCAACTGTTCGTCATATGTTACGTTCTGATCTGGCGCCTTTACTCTATAGTTTAGAGTACTAGTCTTGAGTATCCCTAGCTATTCTAGCTATCGTTTCCAAATATAAGAAAATAAAGGTTGTGGAGGAAAACAGAGAATTTAGTGGGTGGACAGATTTGTTTGCTTTCACCACCAGTGCTGCTGGCTTACTGGTATGCTTGATCTGCAACGAGATCAGCTTTGATAGTACGGGTTGCTGACCCCTGATATAGCATGTGTGAATACTGCACTATATAAAACTGGGCACCACCATTGATTTATAGAATCAATTTGATTCCAATTCACAATTGATTTCTGATTTGATTTGATTCAGTTTCAATGCAATTAGGGATATTTCTGTTACAGTACCAGTTTTGCTTGGATATGAAAGAGACTCTCAGAGAACTAATGCTGTGAAATGTTAGGAACTCTATCCTGTCCATGCGGATACCGCATATTTTAAAATGGTATTTCGGAGCCTCACTATCACGGACTTCCATGCAAAAGTGTCCAAAAAATATTTCCAAAGAAGTTAGTCTGGGGCCTCATTTATAAACTGAGCTTAAGTTACATATCATCACATTTTATTAAAAGTAATGACTTTAGCAGACATCCTCGTTTAATTAGTTATTTATAAAAACTTCTTTTGACGGGATGATGGGATTGATCTTATCTCCACACAGACTGAATTTCCTGTTATGTCAAGGAATGACAGATTTGAAGACGCACATCCTCTCTGGGCTCAGCAGTAGCACAGTTTGAGGAACTCATAGTCAAATGCAATATCTTTACCCTGCAAAAACAGGATGAGGTCAGATTGGAAAGTACTGACTCTTTCTTTTTCGTCCAATAAAGGTTTTATTTTGGATTCATCAATAAGAACACCACAATTGCAAGGACAAGTTTATAAATTAGATTCCTGATATTAAGGACACTAATCTGCCAGTACCATAATTAGTTTTGATGTGAATTGGTGTTAGGATGGATGTGTTATTTCAGAAGAAAAGCCCATCCTGAATCGTACATACCTGTTTTGATTCGTCGAACCTTGGCAAAGCGCAGAGGATATGCCACAGCCAGGTACCTGTCCAGTGATATACAGCAGAGGAAGGCGATGCTGACGTAGATATTAGTGTAGAAGATGAAGCCGAACAGCTTGCAGCTCTCCTGACCGTGAATCCAGTCATCGTGCTGTAGGAAGTAGTCGATCCACAGAGGAAGAGTGGTGATGTAGAGGAGGTCAGCCACTGACAGGTTGATCAGGTAGATGCCGAGCTCATTACGTTGGCGTACCTAGAGGGAGGAGAGAAAACAGAGGAAAGATGAAGGGAGGAAAGCGTAGGGAGACAGGGGTGAAAGATGTGAGAGCGATGACGATTTAAAGTTTAAGGATGAAAGAGAGAAATGCACATGTGCGATGATCGAGAGAGTGTTTCATGTTTTCTTAAACCTTTGTGCTTTTCATAAGAATCAGAATCAGAATTTTTTATTGCCAAGTAGGTTTTTACACCTACGAGGAATGTGACTTGGTGTGTTGGTGCATAAAAAAATACAAATATACATATACATATACAAATCACACAAAAATCATACACAAAAATAAAGTACTTTTAAAATATAAATAAATAAGCTAAGAAAGAAAGAAAACTGTGCAGAAGACGGGAGTGCAAGGCAAACAAAAGTCAAATATACTGAGGGAACAGTGTCTGTGTTTCCTTTTAGGCAAACTTAAAATGGGGGAGAAAATAAAATGCAAATGATGTGTGTATTTCCATCAGCTGCAAATCATTTGGCTGTCTGAATGTCAAAACATGGAACAAATGCAAAGTATTTGGAGAAATGATTAGGTCTGAATGTATTATTGTTGTTTCAAGTCTCATATAAATATTATACATTAGTAATCTATGCCATGAAAAAGAAGCACACTTAAATAGGTAAAATAGTGCAAGTCAAGAATGTACAACCACAACAAAAGCTTGTAAAGGAGAGTGAGAGGTGCAGATATTTTGGAGGCAGCAGTTCAACTTGTCCGCTGTGTACCTCCGATTAAACTTTTCAAATTGGATTTGTCAGCACTTGGAAACCAAGCTACTTGGAGACAGCTCTGTTTCCCAAGCAGTACTGATATTACAATGTTAATATTTAGGCAGAACTGCCACGGTAAATAAACAGAACACCAAGTATGTTCATGTTTTGAATTCAGTTCAGGTTTTGTCATTAATGAAACTGGTGACTCTCAGCAATGCAGTTAACCCTGCCAAGCACTGAAGAGTGATTTGGAACTACAATAACCATAATCCACCTATGACAGCATGCACCTGTGCTCTTTTGAGTTGTGTTTGAGTGTCAGTGCCAGGCCTCAAACTGAAAGGAGATGGATGTATGCTGAGAAGCAAAACAATAATCAGAAGTTGAATTGTTACTCACTTTTAATGACGTTTGTGCTTAAAAAAATATGAGTTAATGATCTCGCTTGAATGAAAAGTCAATAACAATTCTTTCTGCTGCTGCCAAAGCAAACTGACAGCCTGTGGGAAATGCTGGAAATGTTTTATGCCTTATGGGAAAATATCCCCGTGCTCTGTTGACTGTATGCAGCATGCAGTGTCAGACAGGTTACATGGACAATCTCTTGTTACACAGTTAATGATGTTACCTATTACTTTATAGTAAAACAAAACTGAACCAAACCCAACAAGGTTTGAACCACTGGTGTAATGTACATTTACTGAAATGACTTACCTAATTACTACTTAACTATATTTCTAAGGGTAATATTGTACTTTTTTTAGCTAACATTTATGCTTACAAACATACAAACAGCTTATAAAATCAGGATATTTCGATTGTATAATAAAAAGATAATTGAATAAGTTCACAAAGTCGGTTTACATTACATTCATTGGAAACTATTTTGATAATTGTTGTCATTTTTCATGTAAAATCATTTCATGGTTCCCTGTCAGTTTAATTTATTTTTCATTATCTTGAAGTTTGGACAACTGGTTGGACAAAACAAGCATTGTGAACTTTATAATCACTTTACAAAGAAAATAATGAATCCATAATGAAAATAATCTTTAGTTGCAGTTCATATAAAGAGTTTAAACTGAGCTCCATCTCAACCAACTACAACAGTAAAATCCTGCTACTATGTTAATGCATGAGTCATACTAATCTAATGATGTAACATATAACAATATAACAGTCACAGAGGACATTCTTCTGCATTCAGTATCTTTACTTTTAATACTTTAAGTGCATCGTCCCGATTATACTCATATGCTTTTACTTAAGTACATTTTCAATGTAGGACTTTTATTTAGGAGTATTTGTACTTTTACTTAAGTAAATGATCTGAATACTTCCTTCACCACAGTTTGAAACCACTTTGTCATGTTATCAGGTATGTGTGTGTGTGTGTGTGTGTGTGTGTGTGTGTGTGTGTGTGTGTGTGTGTGTGTGTGTGTGTGTGTGTGTGTATGTCTTCCTCACCTGCATGTAGGCAGCCCACAGGGCCATACAGTTAGTGGGCAGCCCCAGAACGATGACTATGATGTAGAGCGTGGGCTGGAAGAACTGGTCCACCTTGCTGTCCACATCACAGAACGAGATGTTGCACATTGTCTTGTGTGGAACGCTCTTGAGTGTGTTTGTGTGTGTGCAGGTGTGTGATGTGTGTTCAGCTACTCTCAGCTCTGAGTGTCCCTCTGTAGTTTCACTATATTCCAGCTCCAGCAGTTTGACAGTGACATGCCGACCCTGGCGTCCTGCTCGGCTACTACACGGCTGTCCAACACGGAGCAACAGAAGAAAACAGAACTGTCATTTCCGGGGCATTTCATGGTTCCTGTTTAAAACAGTGTCCTTCTCGCCCGGGGGCCTTGGTGCGCCATAATCCTCTCTCACGCTTCAAAGCCAGCCCCAGCGTCCCTCAGCACAGAGGAGAAGAGGAGAAGAAAGGAAGGAGCGAGGGATAAAATGTGGTGAAATGAAAGCTGCCTTATCGACGCTGTGCCAGGCCTCCTGTGCCTGGACAGGGCCTCATCAATCTTTTAGAGATTAGAGGTCTGCCAGGTCCACTGTGAGAAGGCGAGGCTGAACATCAGTGTGTGTGTGTGGGTGTGTCTCAAGGCCCTGATGACACTTTAGGATCTCGCACTGAAACACAGGAATGACTTTAGTGCTCTTCACCACTCCGGAGCCGACGGGCTGACTCCTGAGCATCTGCAAGAAAGAAAGAGAGAGAGACTATTAAATTATGATGCTTTATAATAAAAAAAGACAAGAAAAGAAAAGAAAATAACAATTTGTATGTTGATTTTTGTTGCTTGTTATGTTCATGCCCTACCTAAAATAATGATACTAATAACAGTAAGATAATTAAGATGAAGAGGATGGAATAAAAACGGCAACAACTTGACTTGTCAAATTAATTTAAATAAATTAAATAAAAGTTATAAAAAACACAAACAGAATCTTATAAAGTAAATCTGGGCAATCCTAGCTATTTCATCTATAAATGAAAGTCTTTAAAACCTTATATTTTCGCTTTCACTGTTTGTCTGGCATATATGTTCAGCATGAGCTGATTCCAGCTCCTTATTAAGATTAGATTATTATTCAAACCAAAAAGACTATTCAAACAAATGGAAGTAGTATGGTATTATGGACGTCAAGTGCATCATTTTATACACACTTACAGTTTTGGTATCTATTTTTTACTGGAATTTAAAATAAAGGTTCTTTCTGTTTGAACAATGTTTGACTGCGGCAGCATGAGTTTGTAATGACTGCAGGTAAAACATAGCTAAAACATGATGCTCTCTGTGCAGTCATTTACATTCTTCAGTACACATATGAGTCAGGAATGCAGAAATAGAAACAGAAAATCAGTCAAGACGGCAGTTTGTCCTCACTTCATTCTGCTTGCTTGCCCTGTCAGATGTCAGGCCCTCCTTACGTTACAACAAACTTTGTGTTTCAGGCTCATTTCCTGTATTTATTTGCAGTGCTCTACATTTAGTTTACATACTTTAATGCACTACGATTTCTTGTCACAAGACTCAGACCTGCAGTTTTTAGATATTTGGTTTGGTTATTTGAAGTGATTGGAATCCCTCTTGAGGTGAAAACAAAACTCCCTGGAATGAACACACCCTCAACACATACAGTCAAACCCTTTTCTTCTAATAGATTGAATTCTGCTGCCTCGATGGACTGAGAAAGAGTAGAAATGGGCCCACACAGAGGAAGACTTAATGCAGCAAGTAAAGTGAAACAGCAGACATTTATCTGGGTGACTTTCTAACATCTGGTATGATAACACAGAACATGCTGACACATCGTATAAGGACAAAAAGACCTTGCATAGATGGCACACAGAGAGTCCAGGACATAATGATAAGAGTTATGTAAGCCTTCATGTAAACATGACCTGAATATATACATGTACAGCGGAGAGAGAGAGAGAGCAGGATGGGAGGTCAGTCTTAGTTACACTCTTCAACTTCTCACTTTCTCAACCCTAAGCTCAGTTTCTGTTTATACATCTTGGACTGCCTTGATATTTTTTGCATACGGCTGATATGAGTCCACATATGCTTTCAATCACTTAACTTGAATATATTAAGTACTGTGAACTGCTTTCCTCCAGAGTTTAAGCATATTGCAGCTTCTTTTCATTCCTCGTAGATCAATAGACTTCAGAATTTACTGTGAAGGTTTTTCAACTTAAAGAGCTAAGTGCATGTTGCAGCTTTTACACATTTCAGTTAAATATTTATCAGTGTAAAGTAAAACTTTGATTTAAGAATTAGAATCATATCAGCTAAATCCTGCGAACACCCACCAGAGGCTGTGTTTTTTTCATCATCTTAAGCAAGGCACAATCATCATCCTCTGTGGACCAACAATATCCACAGCAGATTTCATGGCAATCTGGCCAGTAGTTATCTCGTGTATAATATGTGCATTACAATTTTGTGTAAAGTTGAAAATGAGTTTCTCTGGAGAGCATGGATGTACATCACAAATGTCTTAGCAAACCAGTCGTATGATTCCTTGAGTACAAAGCTGAGTTAGATCTGAATATTATGCATAATAATAGTTCATGCAGTGTCCAAAATGGAAAGGGCCCTGTGATGCCAAGGTCATCAAGGCTCTTGAGAGAGACTGAACATGTGGACTCGATGACTATGAAGCAGTCTATTTCCAAAGAAAAAGCAGGCATGCTGAGTCAGTGTCCTCTTCCTGGTTAAAAGTCTCAGCAAGAGGCCTCAAAGATGTCTGTCATCAGACATCAAAACAGTTTAAAGATCTGTGAAGGAAACAGCTTCTGCTTGCCATAATGTGACAGTCACTGGTGTGGAACAGTGACTTTGTACAGAGCCCACCCAGTACCACAGTCATAAAGACAAACATATAAGAAAACACACAAAGAGACACAGGGCTAAGTGAGGTCATTTCCACGGTAGCATTGTCAAATAAGTCTTTGTTGGGGGAAACACCCATGTTGATAAGCTTAACCACGACTGGGTCATCACACTCATCAGTTCCACAGTGCAGAGGTATTTCAATGTTGACAGTACATTTGGTTAATTGTCTTTACCAAAAAGGTTTCACATTGGAGATTTAAGTTATCAACATACAAGCTCCTGTTAGCATTCCACACGTTGTAACTGCGTCCAGGGTTTCAGTGGCTGTTGGAGGTAAATTGTCTTGTTTTTTCTTTAAATCCTCTCAAAACTTTAGTTTGCATTGCTAGGATTCCACATTGAAACAAGCAAGCTGTGCCTCAGCTGTCTCACTGAGCTAGCAAGACTAAAAAAGGCTTTGTTTTTAGCTCTTTAGGGAAACTTCACTCCTTCCCAAAAATGTTTTAGGACCATTATTTGTACTTTGAGTATGTTGCTAACTCCACCACAGAGAAACTCTCCAGCAGCCTGATGCAAGTAGGAGTTAAACTACCGTGTGTTGCATTAGCCCGTTTTCTCCAGCTGACATTTCACATTGTGTGTGCATGATGTATAATAAATAAAATCTGACTTCCGTTTTGAAAATACATTACTGCCAAAATTAGATTCAACTACAGTGAACTTGAATCTTCAGGTATTACAATGTCTGTCAATTTGAAAATGAAAACGCTAAGTCCATTTCACTATCAGTTTTTATTATAAGTGGTGGAAAGAAAGGGGAAGTTAAAAAGTTGAGTAAACTAACACAATTTTCTCGTGTTTCATGCTTGCAACAGAGGGTGAAGCGAGGGAGTTCCAATCAGAAACTGCAGCGCTACATGCTACTAAATCCCACCCACTGGAGCTGTGAATTAGACATTGGTACAGTAGTTGAGTAAATATACTGAGATACTTTTTAGCTTCAATTTGATGTCTTTAACCAGAGCAACTTTCTGGGAATGAACATTTACAGCATCATTAAAACAACATTTTGTGTCTTGCTGCTCCACCCTGCAGCCACAGCGCTCCACTATCAAACAACTGAGATCACATCTGTCACCACTGAGCACCAAAGAGCGGCCTCACTTCCTCACTAGATAAAACAGCGGGGCCACACGCCGGTGACAAAATCACTGCCAATCAACCTTATCACTGCATAAAGTCTGCTCTCAGTGTGTGTGGAGGACAGGGTGTGATTCTGGCTTTGGGCTCGCATTGAGCTATGGGAACTTTCTAATTAAATACAAATTGAGTTAAAGTAATAATCTGGAAGCTTTTTATTTCAATAAATGTCTGTTAAGTCATTATCTATCGCCCAATCTGGTAACACACTGGTAATTGAGCATTTGGCCCCCTGATAAAAGCACTTGAATTTGCATTATTACAAACTGGGTGTTGGTGGCGACATTCTCGTGAAAAGTGATGCATTTTCCATCACCCAGCAGTAGTTGGCACGCCGGAGAGGGTAGGCGGAGCGAACACGACAGACTCGCTCTTCAGCTCTCGTGTGAAGGAGCGTATGTTTTATCCGTTGCTATGTGAGTAAACAACTACTCTGGCCAAACAAACAAAGAAACTATCGATGACCACCGACAATGTACTGCCAACTGACTGGTCACACAGGCGACACAGTTTGGATCTCTGGGGAGTCAGGTCCAAAAACATGCCTGCAATTATCGCTTACCACCATAGGTGCCGCCAAAGAGAACGAAACAGAGATCTTCAAGATTGTTACCTTAATGTGAGATAAAGTCAATTCAGACTGCAGTGTGACCTCACTGTGTCCATCAGCTACAGAGGAGGAGTTTTGGGGGTGTTGTGTCTTGCTCAAGGGCACGTTGTCAGTCCTCATTTACCCACGCGAAATGACTAATACGGGGTGACATGCGTTTGTTTTTCACAGCATGCAGCAAACATCACTTGTGTTATCTTTGTCCCACCTGTCACCAGAAATGTGGTTTGTTCTGTCAATTACAGATGTTTATCACGCAGCGTTTGCATGCGATGGCCCCACACAAGCAACTCTCCGCTGCTGTTGTGGTGCGTGTGCATGCACTGTGTTTGTGCCTACATGTGAGGACGAATATGTGTGTGTGTTTGTCCTCCTGGGAGGTTCCTTTACGCTGTCAGCCCAGTTAGCAGCAGCTGGCGGGCTCATCAGCGGTCAAACATTCAGCCTGTTTCTGACACACAGGCTGCTGAACCGAGTCACGACGCTCAATCGCAGTCACAGAGGTTACGTTACGTACACCTGCAGCGTGTGCTGACTGTACAGACTCACACTGCTTTGTCATCTTTAACTGAAGTGCCCTTCTCCGGGAATACATAAATAAAAACTATTAGTCACTAGTTTAATTGTTGTTGTTGCTGTTGTTTTAAATATTTTGTGAGAAAGCCTTCCTAGATCCCATTTAACAAGGATCAAGGAAATGTTATTCATCGTTATACAACACACGGTTGTCCCTTCATGCTACAAACAAAAGAAAACAATTAAAAAAGTTATTTATATTCATATATTCATACAGATACACCAAGGAAATAATTCTGCAGTGCATTTGAATTTATTGTCTGCGTCTTGACTATATACTGTAGCTACTTTACATTTAGCTGTTTCACTCAAGTTGTGTGTAGCCGTGTTCTCTGTGGCTAAGATGACAGTGGATTTAAAAAGTAAGACTCATCTTAAGACATTTTACAAAACACTGTAGCTAAGTCTTATATAATGTATAATACTGGCTACTGTTCTTCAGCTTTTCTGCTTTCTCTTCCTGT